CTCAGTGGCAAAGTGTTATCTTTGAATGGCCCTGGGTTTGATCCTCAGCAAAAGAGTTGGGAGGGTGGGAAAAGTTTAGAATTTAAATATAACTTGCAAAGAGAAAAACTATGTGCTTATAAAAGTATTAGCCTGAAGACCAGGCCTGGTCTTGCTATAGAGCCCAGCGTGACCCAGCCTCTGTCCTTAGCTTTCCACGAATTGGGATTACTGGCATGTGCCACCATACCTGGTTTTTCAAATATTTTTTCAGGCCAGGGGATAGAACCTAGGGCCTCACACACTATGAAAGCACTGTACCTCTGAGCTGTTTCCCCAGCTCCTTTTAATCTTTCTCTTTTAGAGATGGTATTACTAAGTTGCCCAAACTGGCCTTAAACTCACTCCATAGATCAAGCAGATCTGGAATATGTGATCCTCCTGCATTAGCCTCCAGTAGCTGGGATCCCAGGCCCAACAGTTCCATCAAGGGCAAAGTATATTAAATGATGGACAGAACATGTATTATGTCTTTGTTTAAAACTGATCCATAAAAATGGCCTGCAGGGCACAGAGTGCCTATGGTCATGACAGCCAAAATGGCATTGCTTTCTACTTTCATTGCTCAAATTTCCTTTGCCTTTTCTCTCCCTTCATTTTAAAAATGTTCTTAAATATGAAGGGAAACAGCTAAAGTTAGAGCCTATTCCATTTATTTTGTAATGATCTGTTTTCCTCAAAGATTTAAGCAGCATTTACCAGTATGAATAAGATTAATTATTACAATATAAACCAATTTGAAAATTGGTTTTTAAATTGAGCCATAATATGTAAAACCTTATGGCAATGTGCAAATCTGACTATATTCAAGTACAGTTTTCATACCCATTCCAATTGTCTTGTAATAATCAAGAATGCATCCTCTGTGTGGTGTTTGAAAGTTAATACTATTTTGGAAATCACACTGGTATACATAGTGGCTTTCCTGGGTGTATGTGGCTCATTATTGATCATAATTTTATTTTGAAATTTCAGTTTAAGGAGACAGGGTAAGCCCCATTCAGATTTTTAGTGATTAGAGGAGTTTTGATGGAGGATTGGAGAGAATGAAGAAGACTGTTAGAAGAAACAACATTGGAAGAAGCTCAGATCAAGTGATAGTAAAAATTAGCACAGATTTGTATGGAAACAGAAGAGGCAAATAATTCCTAGGAGGAATGCCTTCAAAACTTAACCATGAAGCTCTCACAAATACAAATAATTTTGTGCATTGTAATGAGAAAGGAGAGTCCTAGGGCTTTGGCCGAATTCTAGACCCAGTGGCATCTAGTGTGCATTGGGCAGAGGGAGGGCTGGCATGTGTGAGTGCTGCCTCTTCTGACAGCCGTCTTCCAGGCTTCCTGTTCCCTCCATTGTTTCCTTTTCCACCTTGTATTCTTTTTTATGCATATACACATACATACACACTTTCACCTTTTCTACCTCTCATTAATATTGAAATACTTCTTCAGAATGACACTCCTTTTTTACCCATCAGCTTTAACTAAACACTTAATAATATACCATGTCTCTAAGGAATAACACAATAGTAAGTCTTAAGTTCCTTTATATTAGGCATCTTTAATGTGTAGGGATTTAATGCTGGTGGAATTTTGTTAGACTGTAAGTTCCATGAAGAAAAGGGTTTTGTTTGTTTGATGCCATTTTGCTAATAACTGGCTGTCATGGAATTCACTGTGTAAACTCAAGCTGATTGTCAACTAGAGGCAGTCATCTTGCCTCGGCCTCTCAAGTTCTGGGGTTACTGTTGTAAGCCACCATACCTAGCCAGGAAAGGAATTTTTCTTAAAGGCTAGGAATATAACTTGGTGGTAGAGGGCTTGTCTAGCACGCATAAAGTTCTGGCTCCATCGCAGGTAGTACCAAAAAGGGGAAGGAACTTTCTTTTTGTCCATTGTTATATCTTATGTCCAGAATAAGAAAGACGCTCAATAAATACTTACTGAATAAATTAAGACATTAGCCTTAAGAGAAATTTAATGAAATTTAGGGAAATTATTTCAGTGGAGCATTCTTTTGTTTGAGTTTTTTGAGACAGGATCTCACTATGTAGCCGTGGCTCACTTGGAGCTCAGTAGATGAGACAGGCTGGCTGGGAGGAAGGGTGGGAGTCACTACTCCTGGCTTCCATGAAGCATACTTTTTTTCCAATTAAATTTTCTTTGAGATTTTATTTTTGTTTTGTGTATATGGATATTTTGCCTGCCTGCATGACTGCGCACCACGTGTGTGCAGTGCCTGTGGAGGCCAGAAGAGGGCATCAGATTTTGTGGGACTGGAGTTGCAGTCATGTAAGTTCTGGGGATTGAACTCCAGGCTTCTGGAGGATGCTCTTAACAGCTGATCCATCTCTCCTGCCCAAGTAAAGCATTCTTGGTTCCTCGGTGCAGGGCAGTGATTCTCGCACCTGTCCCCTTTGTTCTCTTCTCCCAGGATGAGTATTTCAAGTGCCAGGATCAGCTGGGTAGGTCTGAAATTAGTAAATGTAGTGCCAAGGAGACACAGACCTAAATGGTAGCTGTAGGGGGCAGAAGTAAAGAGTATGGGAATTGCAAATTTGAATGTGTTAGGGCTCAGATAGACATTTGAGTAGAATACCAAAGTAGTTAAATAGCTAAAGTTCCAGAGCCAGCTAAAAGGATAGAGAAGGCAAGTTGATAAAGGCAGTGAGAGCAAATCAGATTGGTAGTGTGCTTGATTTCATATAGCCAAAGACAACTGTCCATTCAGTTGCTGTTTGTAAAATGGGTTGTAGTGTAGGGGAGAGCTCATGTACCCGAGATACTGGTCACGCCCATTTGGGGCGTGGACAGAGGGACATGGGAAAGGCAAGAGATATATAGGAGAAAAAGAAGGTAAAAGCTCTGTTGAATCCTTGCCATGGTTTCGTGTAAGTGTTTGCTCTCTCTAAATAAATATCTAGACCCCCTTTCTAATATTAGTTGCGCGGATCTGTTCAATCTTCATTGTAGCTTGAGGTAAAGAAACTCTGGAGTACTGAATAGAATTCAGGGTGATGTCACTGTGACTTGTGTTGTCTGGTGATGCCATTAGCAGACACCCTTTGAAGTCCTCCATCCCTACTTTACGATGTAGGGATGATGAAGGCAGCACAGGAGTTCTAGGAAGCAGTAGGTATGGATTCTAGGCCCTGCTTTCTGTGCTATTTTCTAAATTCTTGAGTGTGAATAGACAAGTACTGTAAAATGAGGAAAATGATAGTAAGCAGGAGTCTAGACTGGATCATTTTTGGAGCTTAGCAATCGTTATCCTTCTTTGAATTATAGACAGTGAGTAGGGAATACTGTATCTTGCATCCCATTGCTAATCTCTGCTAATTATTTAAAGAAGTAAAAAACCAGAACGTTATCTCACATTCTGTAAAAAATTTTCTTGTGAATAAATGACTTATCTATTTTAAAATATGTATACATTGAGTGTGGTTAGCTATTTAGTATTTTAGCTGTTACTATTATTATTTTGATTTTTTCGAAACAAGGTTTCTTTGTGAAGCCTTGGCTGTCCTGGAACTCCCTCTGTAGACCAGGCTGGCCTTGAACTCACAGAAATCCACCTTCCTCTGCCTCCCCAGTACTGGATTTAAAGGTGTGTGCCACCACTGCCTGGCCTATTTTAGCTGTTATTAAACTATCATAGTGCTCAGGCTAATGGACAAAACTTCATCTGGAGCTACATTTAGAGAAACATGAAGAATGTAGGGTTCATTCTGCCATACGCAGTCTCTTCTGGAACGAAGCAGAGCTCAGGGAGATGGCTCAGTCAGTAAACTGCATGCTAGGCAAACATGAGGGCCTGAGCTCCATCTCTAGCATCCATGTTAAAAAACAAACAAGCAAGCCACCTGAGCGTGTGATGTGCTCTTGTAAGGCAGAGACAGGAGGATCCCTGGCGTTTGCTGGTTAGCCAGCCCTGTCTAGTCAGAAAGTTCCAGGTTCTAGTGAGAGACTTCATCTCAGAGAACAAGGTGGATGGCTCCTGAGGAAAAACACCTGACCTCTGCATGCACATGCACACATGTGTGCAACTACCCCTAGCCTCAAAGCACAATAATACTAACAGTAGTGCCATTAGAACTGGCACCTTTCGCCTACTGAATGCACTCTATTCTCTCCTGTAATTTCCTTGCTGAAGGTTCTTTGTACTGTGGCATTCAGAGACCCTGCTCTTTTCCCCCTGTGGTTTTGTTTCTGTTTAGATTGTTTCTTGCCCCACCTCCTTTAATTCATCTGGAAAAATGGAGAGGCGGCTGCTGTGGTTAACTGTGCATTTTGGCTAATGAATAACAGGCTAACAGAATACATAAAGCATATGTAAACTATGCAAAGTTAGTTGCTGTACAATGCTTTTTCTTAAAAAAAAAAGATTCTCATGTGGTATTTTGTTTTCTAATTTACCATTCTTTAATATTGTAATGCTACCACAAAGTTTTTCTTTTCTGCTTAGTCTGTATAATATTTCATCTTATGCTGAATTTATAGAAGATGGTTAAGGTCCAAAGAGGAAATGAATCAGTCAATTATATTTAAGAAGTTTGTTTCCTAGTTCAGATGTATTTGTAAAACAGTAGAGACAAATTTTATGGAATACTTGGTTTTTGGACCTCTAACTTTTTTTTTCTCTTTCTTGCCTTTTGGCTACTGGTGCCTTTTGAGTTTCTCCAAGGTTAGAATCACCGTACTTTATGTTCCTTGAAATGTTTCTATTAGCTGGGAGTGGTGGCATTTGGGAGGTAGAAGCAGGTAGAGTGCAACCCGATGTCCATAGCAAGCTCCAGGCCCACTAAGGCTACATAGTGAGACTGTGTCTCACACCCACCCCAGGGTTTCTATCATAAAGGCCAGCGACAGCTTGAATATTGCTTTCAGCCAACCCTTGAAAATTCCTGTAATCTGCCATCCTGTCTCCTACTGTCCCGTCTCATAGTTGTCCTCTCTCTGCAGTGCTCTATGCCCAGGTCTCTGTGGCTGGGCTGCTCCAGCCTGGCGGACAGCATGCCTTCGCTGCGATGCCTGTATAACCCAGGGACTGGCGCACTCACAGCTTTCCAGGTACTTTCTCTGTCTCTGTGGGTTATTGGTGGGTATATGTGTCTAATCCATTAGCATATCCTTCCTTCTTTCCTATGCCTTACTTACACCCTGCTCTTCTCCTTGAGACACTCGGTATTTCTTTAATGACTAACTTTTAATGTAGACCCAGACTTAATCCATTTTTAAAACATCTTTATCACAATTGGTTTGTCAAAATAGACATAGCACAACTTGATGTTGGGTTTCAGATCTTGCAGAAGTATGATACTAATTTTTAAAATAATCTAAATAACAATTCAGATTGTACTGTTTACTCTGGACCTTCATAAGGTCAAATCATGTAATTAGGTGATTGAAATTAGATGCACAAATATGTTTTTCTTGTGATGACTATGTTCAGAATGCTTGGGTTACTATGCTACTATCCATGTGTGTTTAATTTATCAGAACTGTTTGTTACGTGTATCTTAAAGATGGTTTCTGGTTTCATAGTGGGATAAATGTAGACATGTAGTTCATTTTGAGACAGTCCAGTTGGTCTTAAAGATTGATGGGCTATAGCTCTTCTCAGTCTTTCTTAGAGGACAGGCGGTCAGTTCCACGATGTAGGAAAAGCTATAGAAGAAGAGAATGGAACAGTGGAGAGGAAAATGAAAGAACTTGGTGCTCAGAGCTTAGATTAAGGTATCATGAATGATTGTTTTCTTGGTAGAAGTGTTAGCTATCCACTTCAGGTATTTGTGTTTATCATTTTATAATAATATAAAATGGTCTTTTTTTCCTTTTGTGTATATCTTAGTTTTATTTACATATATGCATGTGCAGGCGCCTAAAGAGGCCAGAAGCAGGTGTCAGATTCCCTGAAGCTGTTGTGTATAGTCAGTTGTGAGCCACCAGGCATGGGTTCTGGGACCCAAACGCAGGTCCTCTGGAAAGAGCTTTGAGTGTTCCAGCTCCCCAAATTTCTTTTTTTATTTTGTGTGAGTGTGTGAAAGGACCAGGCTCTGTGGAATAGGCTAGTCTCAAAGCTGGAACTACAGGAGTGAGCCACATGCCCAGCTATTTACCTAGTTGTTTTTAGCCTATACAGTTCATTATCTGTTGAGAGGAAATTCACAGACACGCTGTAACTAAACAAAATGTTGAAGTACCCATGGTTAAATCTTTAGGAAAGGAAGTCAGTGCTGATAGGTTCTGGTCTTCAGCAATATTATTTTAGCAGTGATCATGTTGGAGACTTTAATTTTCCTTTTATAGTTTAATGTTAATCTTCCTTTGCTTATACTCTAAAATAGTAAAGTATGTTGACTCTAAAAATAGGTAAATCTTTTAAAATAACATTGTCACTGTTTTAGTTAGGGTTTTTAATTGCTGTAAAGAGACACCATGACCACAGCAATTTTTAAGAAAGATTTATTTATTATGTATGCAGTATTCCATCTGTATGTTTGCCTGCACACCAGAAGAGGGTATCAGATCCAATTATAGATGGTTGTGAGCCACCATGTGATTTCTGGGAATTGAACTCAGGACAGAAGGAAAAGCAGTCAATGTTCTGATCTCTGAGCTATCTCTCCAGCCATGACCACAGCACTATTTTACAAAGGAAAACATATAATTAGGACTGACTTATAGTTCAGAAGTTTAGCCTATTTTTGCTGTGGTTGGAAGCATGGTGGCACACAGCAGATGTGGTACCAAAGAGATACATGAGAGTTCCACACCTGGGCTAGCAGTGAATTGGGGGAGGGGACAGAGAGAGAGGTGGGGGGAGGGAAGGAGTGAGAGACAGACAGACAGACAGACAGACAGACACTGGGCCTGACTTGAGTATTTGAAACCTCAAAGCCCACCTTCAGTAACACACTTCCTCCAAAAGGCCAGATGTCCTGATAGTGCCCCTCCCTGTGGGCTTGGAGGATCATTTTCATTCAGACCCCACAGTCAGTCACTCGTAGTATGATCTTTTGTTTACTCTGATGCTCTTTTTCCAATTCTGTTAAGTGATGACTGGAGACATGGGTGGATACATGGTAATAGTTGTTGCTTTTATCATCATCATCATATGTATTGTTGCTGTGTTAGAGAGTATGTATGATAATCTGAGAGTATCCATTCATCTCAGAATGAATTGTCTTATTTAATTTGGTTTTGTTGTTGTTGTCTTTTAACTATATCCTGCTGAAGAAGGTATTGACCTAATTAAGAACTCAGAGTCTAACCTATTGCTGATTTTGAGTTTTCTGTTTTTTTTTTTTTGTAATGTTACTGTTTTGTTTGAGACAGAATATTGCTTTATAACCCAGGCTGGCCTGGAACTCTAACTCGTCCTGCCTCAGCCTTCTGAACCCTGGAATTAGAAGTGTGTATCACCAAGTCCGTCTAACCTTTTGGCTTTTAGGTGGTTGCATTGAGTTTAACCAGCCTGTCAAGTCTGAGGGAATAGGCTCTTCAAGACTGACCTCACTTTAGGTGCATTTAGGGGCTCCACAGTCACTCTCAAGGTTAATAATCTGTTTGGAAATATTTAAAGAATTTACTAAAAGCAGTAATACACTTTATTAACAGGAAAAGGATACAGGTTAAACTTGTCCAAAGGAGACATCCAAGTGCCAGAGAGATGGCTCAGTGGGTAAGAATTAGTGAGCTGAATTCAATCCTTGGATCCCACGAGGTAGCAGGAGACAACTTACTCCCCGTCTTCAGATGTACGCGTGTGTGCACACACACACACACACACACACAACACACACACACACACACTCACAAGTAACATTTCTTTTGTGTGTGTGGTGTTTGCCTGCGTATATGTCTATGTACCACATGCATTCAGTGCTTGCAGAGGCCAGAAGAGGGTGCTGGATCCCCTTTGACAGGAGTTACAGATAGTTGTGAGTATAAATAGTGCTTTTAACCACTGAGCCATCTTTCCAGCTCTAAATAAATAATTTTAAAGAAATACTTAATTAAAACAAAGCAACAAGCAAAAACCCAGAAGAGACACATAGGAAAGGCTCTTGGAGGAGTTGAAATGTAGAAATCTTTTTTCTTTTCCTTTCTTTTTTTCTTTTCTTTTTGAGACAGGGTTTCCCTGTGTAGCCCTGGCTGTCCTAGAACTCTCTGTAGACCAGGCTGGCCTCAAACTCACAGGGATCTGCTTGCCTCTGCCTCTCAGTGCTGAGATTAAAGGTGTGTGCCACCCCAGCCTGGTGAGATGTAAAATCTTTAATCACCCTCTTTCCATGGAACCATGGATAGTATTATAGTCTCCCAGCCACAGTGTGTGGTAATACCAACCTCCAAAGTTATATTTATTAAGACTTACTCGCTTACTGCCCACATGGCTGGCTTTTAGTCTCCAGCCCATCCCTGTAGGCCGCACTGAAGCCTATCTCCTCTTGGTGTTGAAACTGATACAGTGTGACTTCAAGCTTTCAGTGTAGACTGTATTTTCAGTATCTAAAGTTAGTTCCCAGGCAAGCAGAGACCCTTCTGTCAGCAAGAAGTTAAGAAGCCGAGAGACCACCTCTTGGTAACCAAGGGCAAAGCCCAGATTTCTTTGTGTCATAGGTGTCATAATCTGTTCTGGGAATGCAATGAGACCTGTTTATCCTTGTGTATATAGAAGCCAAATTTTATTTAATATTTAATAGTTATATATGTGTGTGTGATTTTTTTTATATTTATATTGTGAAATGAGCAAGAGAGCTATGAAGCCATATAACCCAAAGGCAAAAATCTCTCCAGACTGATTGAGTCTATAAAGGATGTGTAGAGAGTCCTAGGACTGTTCAGACCTAACTAGAGTTAGAGGTAAGTGGTAAGAGCTTCTTCTTGGTGTGCATAGGGTCCTGCATTCTGTCTCTAGCACCATAGATAACACAAAGTAATCTTGGTCTGATTTCAGAGTTGGGGTAAGAAGGATCAGGTAACCTTTGTTGAGGGGGTGGTGCATTAACCCTGCATAAGACACAGCAACTATTTCAGAGACTACAGAGGAAGCAGTAAGTTACTGAAAAAGATCTAGGGAAGCTATTGATGACCTAATCACTTAGGACTCAGGAACCATGAATAATGATGTGCTGGAATGGTTTGAGCACAAGTTTGACCTGGTTAGATGTGTAGCACTGAGACTATATAGAAGGGTTATTTCAGTAACTGATTCTTTTTGTTGTTGTTTTTTATTTTAAGGAAAGGTCTTACGTAGGCTAGGATGGCCTTGACCTACAAATCCTCATACCTCTTCAAAGTGCCAAGATTGTATGTCTGTACCATCATACATAGCAGTTTTATTGATGGAGAGGACAATTTGCATTCTTTAAAAATTATTGAGGGGACAACTGAAAATGGATAAAGAAAATGTGGTATATTAACACAATGGAGTATTACTCAGTGGAAAAAAACATGGAATCTTGAAATTCGTAGGCAAATGGATGGAACTAGAAGAAACCATCCTGAGTAAGGTAACCCAGTCACAAAAAGACTAACATGGTATGTACTCACTCATAGATGGATATTAGACATAGAGCAAAGGATTACCAGCCTACAAGCCACACCTCCAGAGAATCTAGGAAACAAAGAGGACCCTAAGAAAAACATACAAGGTCCCCCGAAGAAGGGGAATGGGACAAGACCTCCTGAGCAAATTGGGAGCATGGGGGAGGGGGTATAGTTAGGAGAAAGAGAAGCGGGAGTTAGGAAGACATGAGGGACCAGGAAGATTGAATTGGGGGAAGAATAGAGGAGAACTAAACAAGAGATACCTTAAATAGAGGGAAATCTGGCACTAGGGAAATATCCAGAGATATACTAGGATGACCCCCAGCTAAGAATCTAAGCAATAGTGGAGAGGCTACCTTAAATGACCTTCCCCTATAATGATGGCTACCTTACGTGCCATCATAGAGCCTTCATCCATTGGCTGATGGAAGCAGAAGCAGACACCCACAGCTAAACACTGAACTGAACTCCTGGAATCCAGTTGTAGAGAGGGAGGAGTGATGAGCAAAGGGGTCAAA